AATTCCATTGATGATAATAATGGTGATGATTCACAATTGAAAAAATATGAATCACATCCACAAGCATATAATACAAGCAGAATATTCAATGTTATTAATCCTAAGTCAAATGGTATTAATAATAGTAGTAATTCTAGTTATGGAACTTCAGTATATGAACCTAGGATTCCATCAATATTTGAACAAAGTACTGGAATTAATATTATTACTAATGGTAAATATTAATAATATCAATCCTGATTAATTGATTAATTATTGTTTGTTATATTTAAATATATAATTTTTTTCTAATTAGTGGAAAATATAATTCATGAAGATGCTGAAAATGTCATTGTAAGTGGTGAAATTGAAAAGATTAATGAAGTTGTGAAAATATTTGAAGAGAGGGGTAAGTTAATAAATAAGATTTAAATTTATAAAATTAATTTTAAGATCTGTAAGATTTAACATAATCATTTGGATTTTACCAAATTTCACTTTTAAAGGTTAGGTCCCATTCCAATTATTTATTAGAATGTTAGAAATTGTAGTTTTGCTTTTAAACTTTATAGTATTTACATTGTTTGATTAATTATTTTGAATATTTTATCTCCATCCATTATATTATATAATATACGTGTATTTAATTTAATATGTTTCTATTTAGTGCAGTCATTAAATATAAATCTTAGCTTCATTATAGTAGAATATCATAAATTCTCAATATTTAGATTTTCTAATGAAATCTGAAAGGCCTACAATTTAATATATAATAAAGTCTAAATTTGTTGTGCTGTCATCTGCTAAAAGTTTTCAAGTTGTGAAATACAATTTTGAGTTTTTATTATTATGTGATGTTATTCAATTATTTCTGATGATTGACAAGTGTCCCTCCTTATATTTATGGTAGGTAGGTGTATCCTCCTTTATAATAAATTATTGATTTTGAATGAGTAGAAATAGTAGAAATTGATTAGATGAAACCATCTGGTGAAATTGAATCTTCGTCATATCCATACCATATTAATTTCAAATTCGCACGCGTGAAATTCAAATAGCCAATCATCTAAACATCCCGCCCCAAAATTTTACAAGCTTATGATAGATACTTTAGATATGTTGATGGATTATATCCTGAGGGTCCATCTAGAAATATGTTCATATTTAATAAAACCTTGAGATATTTTAAGAAAATTGCTTTGTGTGGCATATTAAATCTTAGCAACTATTTTTCCAAAAATAAAATTTAGACTTTTTTGCTTCATGCATTCCATTTTGTATCAGTATTATGACAATATCTATTATTTTATTTTTGTAGTTGATAGATGTATCATACATCATTGTTTTCTGACCAAATGTCAATTGAGTTTCAATGTTGTATTTAACTTTAAACAGTACACTTAAAGCCTGAAATTGTGGTCCAATTATTTATTGTGAAGAGGAACGCTTTATATTGTAAATTTGGAAGCAACCAAAATCGATTAAAAAATAACAATAATAATCCTTTTTTCCATATGCTTTTATACTTTGAAAACTGAAAAAATGAATTTGTCCGTGCAACTATAATTTTATTTATGGGGTAGGTTTTTTTGTATCATAGCAATCTTTCATTAATCTAAATAATTTTTTCTTATCTTTAAGTGTTTTTCATTCCATGAATCTAATGAAACCTCCCAATTAAAAAAATTCAAATTTAGTTTTTGTTCTATCTTCAATATATTTCCTTGATTTGGACTTCACATCTGGTTTTTGCCATGTTTCAACTTCATAAGATCTCAGCCAGCTATCGTAAAAGGAGAATTTACAGAATGGGAAATTAGGATCTTTCATTTATTTCCTTATTATCATCTTTTGTAATAACTAAAAATTATTTTTTGCATTCATTGTCAATTGATGACTTATATAATTAGGATACTTATTCTGATGGAGGGTGTTGCTATGATTTGTTCCCATAAAAGGAATGTCGATTCTTAGTATCCAGAAACTGCAAGAGCATGTTTATGTACGAAGAACTGGATTATTAATAAGATAGTATCATCCATATACATAAATAATAATCTTATATATTTTTAATAAAATCATCTATTTGAAAAAGTTACCTGGTAAATGTGACACATAAAAATTTGTTATAGATAATCTTTAAATAGTACCTACGACCTTGATCTTCTACCAGCAAGTAGATCGTTTATTTCCTACAATAGGCGAGTTTGCTATTACATTTTACAACGTAAGGAGAGGAGGACCATTTATTATTACGCTATTTTTTCTCAAAATGAAGAGGCCATATATCATGCTCCGACAATAGCATATAAAGACAAAAATGATTCCAGACGGAAGAGCTGAAGTTTGTGCACGGATTGTGTGTGATTGTTTGAGATGATACTTTCAGTAATTCAGTGATCTGAAGGAAAGAACATGTGCAGATGATCCTTGTAGTCGGTAGAATTAAAAGGTGCAATGCCAAGAGTGCTTTGAAATAACATTCATTCCAAGATGAACCATAGCTCTTGCAAATTTACGTTCATCTCATACTGCAGATTTCCGTAATTTTTACATCTTTCCTATTACTATCTTTTCCAGTTTTGAATATCGACAATGTAATAGAGAATAATTACAATAATGACATAAAATTTTTTTTCTTTTGTAATAATAATTACATTTTTAATGTTTTATCAATATGTCATTTCCATTATGAAAAATAAAATTAAATGCTTTTTTTTTTAAAAAAAATGATCGAAGGGGTTTCTTCACCATTTGTACAAACCTGGAAGCAACAAATGTCGAGAAAGTGTTGTAACTTGGTTATAACAGTATGGTTTTAAGTTTGAATACTTGAAGTTGTTTCTTTGAGCCAAGTTATAGTTGAAAAAATTTTCATTTAGCATTCGACTTATGTATGCATGGTAATAGTAATAGGGTTAAAAATGTGGATTTTACATCGTGAATGATTTGATTGAGGCACGATCATTTTGTCATACGTCTATTGTCGTACGTCATTATTAATCAACGTGGCAACTCGTGAGATGATGTATCGTTTAGCAAAAAAAATATCTATTACTATATTTATTTATTTATATTGAATGTATAAATAAATAATAACAAAATTTTTTAAAAAAATAATGGCAACATCTAGTACAGCTGGTGATTCAATAGATTCGACTGGATCTAATAATATATGGGCTCAAAAGGCTATTTTAGATAAGGTTGGTTTTTGTTTTTTGTTGAATTTCAAATTCTACAGATGCAAAAGTTTTTAATTAATTAATTAATTTATGATAATGTTTTTTTAAATAAAAGCGATTCCAAAAATATCTTGATGAAATAACTCCATATCCAACTTACAGATGGATATCTACAGTAGTTATACTGTTACTTTTCATACTTCGTATTTTCGCTATACAAGGATTTTACATTGTGACTTATGTGAGTTTTCTATTTAATCTAAACAATAAACTAGAGATAAACTAGAGAAAAAAATTAATCAATCAATTGACCCATTCCATTCGGTAGCATGATTATTAAATTTATCAAGTATACTGACTGTTATCATAATTACATTCTTTCATGCACACACATATTATACACGATATATATATATATATATATATGTGCGTGTATAAAAGGCTTTAGGGATTTATCTTTTGAATTTATTTTTAGCGTTTTTACAACCTAAATTTGATCCTTCTTTAGAGATGGATATCGCAGAATCAGAAGTTGAAGAAGGTCCTTCCTTGCCAACAAAAGCCGATGAAGAATTCAAACCATTTATACGTAGATTACCAGAATTTAAATTTTGGTAATTAAAAAAATAACATTATCAATTCAATAATAATAAAAACAATATCATGATTTTATAAATGCTATTATTTTTTTTTTCTCTCTTTCTTTACAAATAATAATATTTCTACGATTATTTTTTTTTTTAGGTATTCTTCAACAAAAGCAATAATAATTTCATTGATTTGTACTTTTTTTTCATTTTTCGATATCCCAGTATTTTGGCCGATACTTCTTATTTATTTCTGTATTTTATTTGCAATTACAATGAAACGACAAATAAGACACATGATAAAATACAAGTAAGTGATAATTTATAATTAATAAAAAAAGAGGGGGGGGGGGGGGGAAAAGTTGGTGGTGTTGGTGGTAGAAGAGGAGGAAATTGTATTTATTGATTAGTTTATTTGATATAATATTGGAGAATATTTGTACTAATTTAAATATTTTTCTTCTCTTTTTCTCTTCTCACACAATTTTAATTAGATATGTTCCATTCGATATTGGTAAAAAAGTGTATAGTAAATAAATAATTAGATTCATTAATATTTATAATTATTATTTAGGGATAATTTTAAAAAAATTAAAATAAAATATATAGAATAAATAAATAAATAAATATCATTATTAACTATTAATTAATTTTCTTTTATTTTGTAATTTTTTTTTATTAATAAAAAAAAGTAAAATTATTAAAATAAAACATATAAATAATCAAATAAACAAACAAAATAAGTTACTTTAAAACATCAGTATCAAAAATATTTATCTAAAAAAAAAAAGTTTATTTTATTACATGAATTAATAATTAATTAATTAATTAAATTTTCTCTATTAAACCTTTCCCCCAATTCATCACGATTCTTTTACAATGTTTTCTAATATTGTTCGCTTTAGGTGAATTCCATTGACCTAAAGAATCTATTGAGCGTGCATAATTAATGCAAGTTTCACGATAAAAATTAAAATACATTCTGTTTTTTATCATTTTCTCGAATGTTTTTTCGTCTTGTTGTAATAAATATGAAGCTTTATTATATTGATAATAAATCAAATATGTGTCAGGAAGAACATATAATCCTGATCCGCTTAAATATATTTGTAATAAACATGCCGCTTTACCAAACTCAAAAATATCAAAACGTTCACTACACCTAATATGGAATTAAATAGTGGTAGATATTGATTAATATTAGAAATGGTAATAATATTTAATTAGATATTATTATGATTAATTTGTTAGTTAACTTACCATGGAATTGTAGTTTGTTTATTTATAACAAAATTTGGTTGGTAATAAATATCATAATGGTTTGTAATGTTGTACAAATCACCTTTGACCCAACTTTTGTAGTTAGTTGGACCCTCGTTTAATGACCAACCATTATCTTTCAATCCCATCAAATGTTTGCTAACGTGTTTGACCAAATCTTTTTTTGTGGTTGGGAAGTGGTGATCTGTTGAATTCTCGGTGAACTTGAATGTTGGTATGATTAAAACCTCGTTATTAGATAATAGTTTGTTATATGATTTGATTATCTCGCGTGTATTTTTCATTGGCCAAACATCTTTTTCAAGAAAAAATACATAATCTGATCTTGAGAAAAACCTTGCATAATTTAAATGAAAATTGTTTGGTTTAGATTGTAATGATTGCTTTTTGACAGTTACCGGCCCTGTCATTAGATGAATATCAACGAATTTCTTTATGTTTTTATTTTTATTACAAATGTCTCGAATGTTTTTTAATGCGGCAGCAATTTCTGGATCTTGGTCATTATACGTTAATGTTGGTAAATGTAAAACAGCAGAAATTGGACCTTGCCAAATGTCAACAAGTCTAATTAAATCTTCTAGTCCATGTTTATTGATAGACGTTATCATTGTAATATCACCTTTTTCCGGCGTTACATCTCCATGAAAATAATACGGATACAATCCTTTGATTAATAACTTTGATGTTTTAGAATGAATCTTTGAAAAGCGAAAATCATAATTCATATCATTAAGTGGTGAGGTTCGATTTGTATCTACATGAATTATTTAAATTGTTTAAATATTTAATATTTAATTGTTTACACGCATACATGAAGAATAAAATAATTTTCCAAGATATTAATATATATGAAATAGTTGTTATAATTATATGTAATTTTTAAACGCATGTAAATGAAAAAAAAAAAATATATTTACCATATGTTCTTTTTATAGGATCTAATTCTTTGGGAGCATCATCTGTCAAATATTTGAATAAATGGGTAAGGGTAATTATTATTGATAAGATGGTATAAAATATGAAGATTAATTTGACAAGTCTATTTGTTATAACCCATAAAACCAAATCTTTAGCCGTTGGTTTTGGTACCATGTTCTATTTAAGTAATTATTATAATTATAATTAATATGATTATTATAGTGGTTATTTGTTGGTTGTTCTTGTTACTTTAAAAATAATTACGGAATGGTAAATTTATAATAAATGTGTGTGTATATGTATGTACGTATGTGTGTATATTATGTAACATATATAAAGTTATATGGTTGTTTCGATCTCCTCTTTTTCTTTGTTTTATTCTTATTTTATTTTTATTTTAGAGTTTAAATGTTTATTATTATTTATTATTTATAAAAATTTTTTTATTTGATCGTCAAAAATTTTAAATAATAAATAATACAATAATACAGGTACCACCTTTTGATTTTTTTGTAATAATATAATAATAATAATATTTTAGTAATATGTGGTCAAAAAATCTAAATTGGATTATAGAAATTATGTAACATATATCACGCGTTTTTTAAATAGAAAAGTCCAGTAGTGGCAGAGAACAAAACTTGATTTCTATATTTTACCCAAATAAAAAAGAACCGATTTATCACCCAAATGTATAATTGACATACAGAAAATTACCCGATCTAGATGATCTATTTCGATTTGAAAGAACCTTCCCAATTTATTATTATTGGTTATTTAATAAGCCCTTCATAGTAATTACCAATATCCTACACACGCGCGCAACCAATTAAAGAAAATAAAAAAAAAACCAAATTGGTAACCATTACCCCCCCTCCCTATGAACCTTACTGAATTTTTAAGGAAAGTAAATTCGTGGATTATCATCAAACCACGAATGATAGAGTATTATTTAACTGTCATTAAAATGTTTATGAAACCAATCAATAAAATTAATCTCCTTGAAATAAATATTTAATCTCCCAATTTTCTTTTTCTTTTAGCAAGCACCTTTGTTTTCATTTGAAACATCACACAAAAGAAAAATGGGTTAAATATGGGATGCTTATCCTATGTATCTTCAAAATTTATACCAAGAAAGTCGCAAAAAAGTCAGAAAATATGAAACAATAATATCACAATATAATATTGAATAACAACTAACATAGAAAAAATATATTTGATATAAACTATTTTGTTTATTTATAATAATGATAATGAGAATGATAACGATAATAGTGCTAGACAACCACACAAAGCAAGTGATAAAATAAGACAGGCTCTCGCATCGCCGTATCCTTTTCTTCCTTCCTTCAGCGGTGCCTGCTATCGATGAAATCTACATTATTGTTAATTTTAATAGTAATCGCCATTACTTTTTTATTTTTATTATCGCTATTATTTATACTAATACATAAAGCTATGGTTAAATAAACGAGGGAATGGAAAAAAAAGTATATAAATGAAGACTTGAAAACTAGAGAGAGAGAGAGATCATAACCGCAATGATGATTGTTAATCGAAAAAAACAAGAGAACATACATATGTCATGTTATTAAACTTTATAAAAAAACAAACGTTTCATCATATCATTTGGAGCCCTTCCTTTAGTATGGTTGATTTTTTTAATGATGAATTAAATAATGTAATAAAAAACTAATTTACTTTATGAATCATTTCAATTAAATCGAGTTTTAATTATGTCATTTAATGAATTATTATCACCAGAATCAAGGATTTTTGTATATAAAATTCTGCACGAAATCTAAAAACAAGAAGTTTTCTAAAAATGGACATGAATTTTATGATGAAAAATTTGTTATGAGTAATGCAATTTATACTCTGATAAATTCTATGAAGGTTGTATTAGTCTACAATCACAAAGTCTTTTCACTACTTGGACATCTGTAACTAGCATAATTGATGACTTTAACAATGTCATATAAAATCATCATTGCCACAATATATTATAGAATGGATACCTTATCATGATTTTAAAATTAACTGAAGGTGGATTTACAATGTTATATGGACAAGAGGAAGTACTGATGATTACAATGGAAATAAGAAAGAAATTGGTTGTTCTAGAACAAAATGATGCAGATGTGTTGGGATATGGATCCATCAAAAGGACCAACTATTGGAGAACTTGGGGAATTTACTGTTAATAAACACAAGGAAAGTTTTAAAAATAAAAGTTTGAAAAAAATAAAGATTATAATAATAATGGTGGTGATGAATCACACAAATCCATCCATTTAGCATATTGTAAAATTAGAATATTTGATGATGAAATTGCTAAAACCAATAAGTTTTAAAAGTAACGACAGTTCACTAAATGATTTTGATTTTAGCTCTTTGTCTGAAAAACTTTAATTACTATTATGTAATAATAATAAAGGAAAATGATGGATAATTGGTTTTTATTATTAATTTTTTAATTAAATTAACCTAATAAAAGCCTTTATCATTGTTACACTCTGCAGGAAAAGAAAATAGAGAATTACGAATAAATTTGTTATTCTCAAGAAAAAAAAAAATCGAGTTTCCACTATAAATCAAGTCAATTTTTTATCATTATCTTTTCAAATTTTATATAATGTCATTTAATAAATCACTATCACTGGAAGAAGGGAATTTGTATTTAAAATCGATAATGAAATAAATGTATAATAATGCTCTGGTTAATTCTGATATAGAAAATAGAAAGATTATTATTTTTTCTTTCAAATTAAATACTAATAATACCTAATCAATCAAACGACTAGTTTTGGAATCCAAATATACTAATCAATCAATTTGATATTGCTAATTTTAGAATCAAAATACGATTAAAAATTGATGTGTTGTGGGTCAAAATCAATCGTGTGAATTTGGATACAAAACAAAACTTTGGCTAATTTAAATTCCACACGCGTTACTCAGGAACTTATCGAAAATCAAAAAGAATATTGTAATTTATGTTTTTGAATTAAGAAAGGCAATGTATATATATAGTGAAAAGACCAAAAGAATGTAACCAACAAGATACTCTGATAGATTCTGTGAAGGTCGTATTAGTTTACAATTTACAGTGACTTTCACTATTTGGACATCTGGAAATAGCATATCAAATGCTCTCATCTTGCCAACTCTGACGTTAGAAATGGATACCTTTTGAACAATTTGTAGATATAACAAAATTAATCGAAGGTAGATTTGCACTGCTACATGGACACAAGGATAATAATAAAAAAGAATTTCTTTATTTTGGAGATCAAACTGTAGTATCAAAATCTTTAAATAATTCAAGTAATTCAGGAAAAGCATCTTGTTACTACAGTTGTAAATCAAACTCAAAGCAAAATCAATATTATGAAGCCTTTATCGATTATTATCAAGATAAAAATAACACTACAAATACTTGACAAAAATATTTACCTTCATAATTAATGAATTTTTTGCAGATTGTTGAATGGACTATTCTTTAGCCTTTTACTACATCAAATTTATAAAAATCAACACTATAATAACCAAAATATTGATAAATCAACTAATTTAATAGAGCCCAGAAAAAACATAAACAAAGTAAGTCGACTATGTTGCAAGAACTCTATCAAGGAATTTGGGCGCCAAATATTTAAATAAATAATTTAAAAACAAACTAACTAGTAATGGTTACAACTGAATTAAGAATACACCTATGTGAACTATACTCCACGAAGGTTTATTTTCTTTCTAAATTTGTTAATTTCGACTTTCTTTTACCATATACAGCGTAACTGAATTTTATGGAACGCGATTATCACGTAAATACAAACTTTAAAATGACACAAGAAATGCGTGTAAAGAAAGAAACGTCCAAGAGATCATAGATCAAATTTACAGTATGAAAAAGACTGAGACAAAAAAAATCTGTTTGGTAGGTTTTTTATAGAGATATTGTATTACGTTGAATTAATTGATTTGGAAACTGGTTTAATTAAAACTTTATATTCGCTTTTTGGAATCAAGATCTTTTTCCTCCTCCCATTCTGTAAATAAATCATACATCATCTCAAATAGCAATATGTAGTTAAACCTTGCCACAATGGATACATCTGACACATAAAGGGAAAGTTCACTTAAAATACATTATGGCAAAATCATTAATTTTAAAAGTCCGCTATAACATGAAATTAATTATAGTTTGACTATACTTGCCTCATCATAACTAATGCTTATTTTAATTTTAATTTATCAGGATAAATTTATTAACACATTAGAAATCTTTCTCTGCAACAAATTGATAGGATCTTTGAAATACAATCTATATTAATTTAATTCAAAATAAAATAAAATATTTAAATGATATAATAAAAGATGATGGTGACGATGATGACACAAATTTGATAAATTATTTTAAAAAGAGCTTTTCTGTTTATTTAAATTTTTTCTTTTAAGAATTTAAATCCAAATAACTTTATATATCACATTACAAGATCATAAAATGATGGAAATAATAATTCTGGTAAACGTTATGGTGATGGTGATTGTAAGAGTAAAGGCAGAAGTGATGAATATGATAAATGTGGCAACATTCCTTCAGCACCATCTTCATCAAAATTCAAAAATGAAAGATCATCAAGTCACTAAGAAATCTTCTAATAGTAGCAGTAGTAAATCATCATCATCAATAAATGATACTGCTGAATTTGAATTGAATTCTTTTGTGACTACTGACACAACTATAGACTATGAAGTAATGGCATCATAGCCTATATTTAAGAAAAATAAATGCATTGAAGGGTGTCTCTATAACCTAAATAATTTAAAGCATTTAAAGAGAATGATGCAGAGGCTGGGGACCTGAAAAAAAGGCAAATTTTTTAATGTTATAATTTATATAATAATTCTCACAGTACATGATGGTATAGGCCAACTGCAAAAAATATCATGATACATCTGTATTTCTGAACATCTTCTAAATGTCTTAAGTTCTTGCAGGATTCATCTGATAGGTTCGATCTAGAGGAACTCTATACACCATCACCATTACTTAGATATCTTGGGCAAAGATGCATATAAAGTAATAGAAAGCATTTAGTTTAAATATATAGATGATCCATTAGAAGATATTTA